CGTAAATCGGGGGCCTCCTGTAGCCTTACATTTCATGCTCATGTTTCCGATAAGATCTGACTCATTCCGTATACAAGTGGGACTTGCACAGGGGGGTGAATCACAGTAGTGTAATGGTGAATGAGGCCGCAAGATTGTCATAACCACGCCAGTCTCCTGTGTGCAAACTGTGCTTGCGTAGCTAGAATTTGTGGAGTGTGCCGATTGAACCATAGTGGCACTTTGACTGGATACATGTAGAATGCCAGCGGGCCACATACAGCCTGTGGGCCACAGTTTGCTCACAAGGGGACTAATGACGCCTCATCTAACAGGAGTGTTAGAAAAATAAATTCCTTGATGCCTGTGAAGCACTCAGATACTATGCGATGGTCTTCATGGCTGAGGATGTGCTGGAAATTCCCAAACATGAGCCATTCCTTTTAGGTTATAAGTCTGAGGAACTGTCCCAGATCAAGGCGTCATTAAAGGTGGTTTTGGAACAAATTGATAAACTAAATAGTAATAAGCCACCTGGACCAGATGGCATTCACCCAAGAGTTTTGAAAGAAATCAAGTGTGAAACTGTGCAACTACTAACTGGTTTGTAACATTCCTTTAAATCAGTTTCTGTACCAAATGGCTGGGGGATAGCTAATGTGGCGCCAATATTAAAAAGGGCTTGAGGGGTGATCCTGGAAATTACAGGCCGGTAAGTCTAACTTCAGTAGTGGAGAAATTGGTTGAAACTATAGTAAAGAACAGAACTGTCAGACCCATAGATGAATGTAATTTGTTGGGGGAAGAGTCAACTTGTTTTTTGTAAAGGGAAATCATCTCTCACCAACCTACTAGAGTTCTTTGAGGCAGTCAACAAGCATGAGGACAAGGGGGATCCAGTGGATAGAATTTACTTAGATTTCCACAAAGCGTTTGACGAAGTCCCTCACCAAAGACGCTTAAGCAAAGTAAGCTTTCATGGGATAAGAGGGAAGGTCCTCTCAGATTGATAACTGTTAAAAGACAGGAAATAAAGGGTAGGAATAAATGATCAATTTTCAGAATGGAGAGAGGTAATTAGTGGTGTCCCACAGGGTACATACCGTGAAATGATTTGAAGAAAGGGGTAAACAGTGAGGTGACAAAATTTGCAGATGATACCAAACTGCTCAAGATAATTAAGACCAAAGCAGACTGTGAAGAACTTCAAAAGGATCTCAAAAACTAGGTGACAGGGCAAAACACGGGATATGAAATTAAATGTTGATAAATGCAAAGTAATGCACATTGGAAAACATAATCCCAACTATGCATATAAAATGAGGAGGACTAATTTAGCTATTAGTTCTCAAGAGAAATCTTGGATTCATTGTGGCTAGTCCTCTGAAGACACCCATTCAATCTGCAGTGGCAGTCAATAAAGCAAACAGAATGTTGGGAATCATTAAGAAAGGAATAGAAAATAAGACAATCTTATTGCCTCAATGTAAATCGACTAGAGTATTTACCCAGCATTGCTCAGGTCCTTAGTTCAATTCAGTTTTGCTTTTCTTCATTTAAATCATTGCTCTGGGGTGGGGCAGGGCATGAGGGGATCAGTATGCAGGCTGTTCTGAGGAGAGGGGACTACTCCAGCCCTCAAACTGCTGCAATGAGACCAGGTGAGAGAAACCTCTCCATGGCCACTGGAGATCCATCGGGCACAGCCAGAGGAGCAATGCATGTCTCCCAGCTGGGACAGTTCCAGGTTCATCTACCCCCCGCACTCCCCAGCCAGAATGAGGAATGCAGCAAACTGTGCACTTTCCCCTTGCTCCATGATGGAGAATAGCCAGCAATGTTCCTGTAAGAATGGGGGGAGAGGGGAAGAGATGCAGCCCCTTCTGCTCTCCTTTAAAGACACCTGGGGCACGAAAGACTTGGGTAGTCCCAGGCAGGAGGGTGCCCCCAGCCAGACCCTAGATGGACCTTTGGTCTGACCCTGTGTAGCTGTTCTTATGTTCCTTCCTAGACAGTCAATTCCCATTTTGTGTGTGTGTGTGTAACTGATTGTTCCTTCTTAAGTGGAGTACTTTGCATTTGTCCTTGTTGAATTTCATCCTATTTATCTCAGACTATTTCTTCAGTTTATCCAGATTATTTTGAATTATGACCTTATGATCCATGGCACTTGCAACCTCTCCCAGTTTGGTATTATCTGCGAACTTGTTAAATGTATTCTCAATGACATTATCTAAATTAGTCCTCACGCTGGGGTATTACAGCATTGAGGAGCATCCTTAGCGTGGTGGATTGAGGAAGCCCCCCCATAGAGTTGCGCCAAATAATACAGAATAAGGCGCCGTGGACTAACAGTATCTAGGAGAAGGGAAACTCTGATTCCAAACTGGGGCAGAACGAGCTCGCTAAGCCTTTTTAGGCGCATCAGTCTAAGAGAAGATAACTCTGATCTCAAACCCGTGCTCTCTCTCTCTCTCTCCAGTGTACATGTCGCAGTTTCTGTGCCTGTGCACGATGGTTGGAGTGAGAAGAGAGAGTGGGGTGGGAACTCACAAGCCTGCCTCACTTAAATCCACTCATATGTGAAGGTCTCTCTCGACACCAAAGACAAGTTTTACTATCTGTGAAGCGTACTGTCCTCTAGCATAAAATGTGGATCATGACGTATCTGCTCGACTAGCCAAAGCCAGCGCTGCCTTTGGTCAGTTTTCCAAACGCCTATGGAATGACCATGGTATTAAACTCCATACCAAGATAGCGGTTTATCAGGCAGTTATCCTGAATGTCCTGCAGTATGGCTCGGAGTCATGGACAATATATCATCGCCATGTTTTGAAGCTCGATCAGTTTCATATGCGTTGTCTGAGGAAGACTGCTCATGTGAACTGGTGGGACAAAATTCCTAATATGGAGGTTCTGAAGCTGTGTGGTGTCATGGGCATGGAAGCAATGCTTATGAACAAACAGTTTTGCAATATTGGTCATGTTATGAGGATGGATGATAGTATAGACCATCTTTGGTATCTGTGTATGGCCAGCTTGCTCATGGAAAGCGCTCGATCAGTGGTCAGTATAAGCTCTATAAAGACATCTTAAAGGCCAATACGAAGTCATGCAGCATCTCTCTCAATGATCTGGAAACTCTAGTTCGGGACAGATTGTCCTGGTGACAAACCATTGTACAGGCTCTTAATTGCTTTGAGAGTCTGAGTATCCAGGCATTACAGGAAAAGCGGAGGATCCGAAAAGAACATTCAGCGCTTGCAGTTGACTGCTTATGTGACATCTGTAATCGGCTCTGCCAATTTAGTTGCTCATCAAAAGCATCATAGAAGATGAGATCCGATCGATCGACGGCTCAGTCCAAGAAGAGAAGAAGAAGAAGAATCTAAATCAGTGATGAAGATATTTAATAGAACCAGTCCCAAAACTGTTCCCAGTGGAATCCTGCTAGTTATGCCCTTCCAGCATGACTGAACCATTGATAACTACTCTGGGAATGGTTATCCAGGCAATTAGCACCTACCTTATTCCAGCCCCATCTAGGTTGTATTTTCCTAGTTTATTCATGAGAAGGTCATGCAAGAACATATCAAATGCTTTACTAAAGTTTAGGCATACCATATCTACTGCTTCCCCTTTAACAAAGTTTGTTATCCTATCAAAAAAAGCTATGAAGTTGGTTTGACGTGATTTGCTCTTTACAAATCCATGCCAACTGTCACCTATTACCTTATTTTCTAGACAGATTCTTAATTATCTGCTCCACTAACTTCCCTAGCATGGAAGTCAAGCTGACTGGTCCATAATTTCCTGGGTTGTCCTTATTTCCCTTTTTATAAATGGGCACTAGAATGGCCCTTTTCCAGTCTTCTGGAATCTCTTGCATCTTCTGGAATGTGCGCCAACTTCCATGACTTATCCAAGTTAAGGAAATAATTGAGAAGATCTCTGAGCCACTGAGTATTCTAGGATGTATTTCATCGGGCCCTGGTGGCATGAAGACATCTAACTTTCCCAAGTAATTTTTTATTTGTTCTTTTTCTATTTTAACGTCTTCCGAGGAGATACAATAGAAGACCATGGACTGGGCATTAACTTTTAATGTCTGGGAGCCAAGGGAGGCAGATCATATTCAGAGTGACTAGGGCTGGAAACAAAGACCCGAGGTGTCAGAAAATTGTTACAATGCCATTGCTGCTCCATGCGGTGAGAGACTGAATCTTGGAAGTTCTGGATGAAAAGGGCATGTTGTCTGGCCAGCACAGATGTGCATGTAAGTTTTGCTCATCCGTTGTAATTTAAGGACTCTAAAATATTGGACTCTAGTTGACCAATAAAAGCTGTCGTGTGCTGAGAAGGCTGCCCTATGTTGCTGCAAACATCTGCTGGCTGCATAGCTCCCAAAGGGAGAAGTCTCCCTCCAACAGGACTTCAGGTTCTTTTGACATGGAATCCCTGGCAAAAAGCGGAGGCCAAGGGACCAGCACTGAGAGCTCTAGCTCGTTGACAGTCTGTGTAAAGGCTGGAGGTAAGCTTACCCCGTTGATCTGTGACAGTATGTTCTGCACGTGTGCCATTAAGCAAGCTAGCTGGAAACAGGTGTAGAGTTGCTGCTACTGTGCTCTCATCTGCTGCTGCTTCTTTAATACGCAGGTGTGTGAGAGAAATATAAACAAGTACTTCAAGGTAAGATTGTTGCCCTCACTGGAGATACAAAAATGAATGCATCTGCAGAAGCTTCATGATTAACTAATTAAATCTAAGTCAATTAACTTCTATGCTGCATCATGGGGGCTATTGTCTTTCAACAATTCTGTCCTGATCTAGTGTGTTCTAAATGACTCCAGCGGGCAATTCAAATGTGAGGATGCCATGGGAGTGTTTCCAAGCTGAAAGGAACTGGAGAGCGCTAAAGCCCCAATTATAGATGCTAGCGTTACTCTCATTCCAAGCCCCAGAAAGCAGTGTTCACATAAATCCACTTTGCAGGGAACTGAGACAGAGGATCATTTTCTTACCTGTTTTGATTCCTGTCTCTTGTTCTAATTGCTGATACAGCTTGTTTGAATAGTCAGCCATCTTCAGCTCTATGGACAAGTGCCTGACTGTGCTCACGATGCCAGCACAGAATCGAGTGGAGCCGGCAGCCAGCCTGCGGGAGAAAACACAGTGAGGGCTTCATACAAAACGCTAACATACCGAAGCCTCTGGTTCAGATGCAGCCTATGACAAGAACCTCTCAGATGTATAAGGAACTGCCACCCCTCTTATTGGTCACCAAAGTTTGCTGCTTATGTGTATAACTACATGAAGATGAAAGTACTGTAAGATATTGTCGGGGGAGAGGGCAGAGAACAGCTCAGAACTGAGGTGGGCACAAATTCCTGATTATTTCTCTGACATCAGCTCAGGTTAAGCCTGTTAGTTAAGAGCCTTCTCTGTTTGGAGTACCATACTGACTGGGCAGACCCCATGTCCAGACACCTGTAACTCTTGCTACAAAGATTCCCTGGGCACTCCAGCCCCAGATGTGTTTTTAGCTGCCTGTTGATAAGATGCATCCCATACTTACATCCCAGCAAGAAACACAGATTGCAGGAAAATTGCTCTTGCCAGGGAGGCATATTATGGTGAGACTGAATTCAAAGCTGAACACCAAAGGATGCTTTTTACATGACCAATGTGTGCACAGAACAGAATTGATACCACTCCCTAAGGCATCAGCACAGTCCCTAATCAGTGAAAGCACATTCCCAAGACAAAGTTGCAAAAGGAAACCACCACAGAGCAGACTGAATTTGAGGGGCACACTTACAAAGGCAGACCAGCCCACAGTAAGGATGTTAAATATCAGTTAATTTACTAGTCAAGTAGTCGATGGAATTTCCATCAACTACTCGACTAGTCAATAGGCACTTGTACAATTTGAAGGAGGAATGTAGAACTCCGCATGCAGCCCGGGGCCAGCGGGAAGCTCTGCCACTGGCTTATTGTCCTACCCAGGGAAAGTCACTTAGACCTTGTCTAGGTGGGGATTTAAGGTGTATTGTTAGTAAATCTGTGAAAAAGTCCAGTATAGGCAGCCAATACACACTGCCAGGACTATGTTATACTTTTAAAACACATTAGCATGTCAGCTTAATTCCATACTAAGGATCTTCAAATATTAGCTTACACAAGGCCATGGCCTAGATCTGCCTGCTTCCTAGATACATGTAAAATTGGAGTAAATGATGCTGAACATAAATGCAACGAACAAAATAAAGTAAAAGTATTTCTGTTTCCTATTTGTTTACAATGCATATCTGTGTTGTGTCAGTTTCTCTGTTTCCCTTCTATAATTTATTCTGCCTTGATAGGAAAATATGGCTATAAAACCATAAACATCAGCAGGATGACTCAGGATGATGTGAGCCCTAGAAAGACTTTTCATTATGACATTTTGTGACAACATCCTCTCAGACGTTTTGACAACATGGAAAATATTTCGCTGATGCACTTTTAAAAGCCTCTCAATGCTCGCTTAGCCCCTTTTACGGATGTATTTGTTCTCCAAAAGTGCCACTTCCTTGATCTCTTTCTGGGCTGAAAGTAGCCCTTTCCTCCCTTCATCTTTGCAAACTTTCTGCTGCAATTACAATACACAAACAACTGTGCATTTAAATTACTGGGCAAGAGATTGCTCTGGTGACCCAAGTCTCTGGATTGCAGACATGTAAAGAAATGACAATTTGATCCAAGCACACTGCTCTTACTTTGTCAGACTTGCCAGGGCCATTAACTCATTTCTCCTGCCATTACATGATTTGCACTTTACCACACAGGCCTTCATAGAGCTCACTGTTGTTCTACTATATCTGCCATAAGAAAACAATACCGCAGTAACCTGATTTAGACCTATCTATGCTATAACCTTCATAAACAAGATCTAGCTGACATTTTTAAAACATGACTATTTCTGTGCTCACTAATAGGGCGAACATATAACCAGGGTGAAAAGTTGGGACTTATTTGTGGGAGAGGGGAGTGTTGCATATACAAGAAAGAGCCCCTAATCTCGGAAATTCTGGTCACCCTAGCACTAAAACCAGAACAATGTTTAATGTCATGCTAATTAAAATATCTCAGTTAACTGATTTTTCTAACACAGTGTTTTTTCTCAACTGCTATACAAGCCTGTCCATGTGTATACTTGCTCAGCAAGTACTTGTGATGGAGTGTACATGCCCCACTGAAAAAGTAGCAGGAAGGAGGTTATTAATTCCCTGCAAAGGAAGACGGGCAAAGGGCCTACACCTCTTCAGAGTGCATGCTGAGCCAGCCAATGAGGAAGTTTTCTTTTTGATTCCATAGGGCACTCAGCTTAACAAGGTTTTCAGATAAGATTACTTGATTTGCTCTGTGTTTTATGGCTCAAAGGAGTCCAGCAGTAACTTCTTATCAAAGCTGAAGGAAGTTACTAATTTTTCTGGAAAGCAGCTGTCTGCGGGGTTTAAGTTTGGAAGTTTTAAAGGGATTCTGCGCTGAGGCCCCTAGACTTTGCTGTAACACATAACAATGGTGCCTCTCTCATAATTCTAAGCGGCAGTCTTGACTGTCTATTGCCAGCAGCCCCTAATCAGGCCACGTCTTCACTTAACAGAAGTATTCTCTTCCGCAGCAGCGTCGATCTTAAGTATAGTTCAAAAACTAAAGTTGTTACTTTTGTCCTGAATGAGGCATTTAAGGTTTTAAGAATGGCTATAAAGGCTCACTGGGTAGAGTAGACTTCACAATGTGCAACTCCCCTGGAGCCTGTGAAGAAAGGGCAAAACCAACGGTTTGATTTTGGGTACGTCTACACTGCAACACTATTTTGAAATAACTAGTGCTATTCCGAAATAACTTATTCTGCATCTACACAGCAGGCAGTTATTTCGAAACGGTGTCAAAATACTATCAAGGTGGAGGACTGTTGCCTTATTCCGACTCCTGTAACCCTCATTGTATGAGGAATAAGGGAAGTCAGAAGAAGAGTGCTCAATTTCAAAATAAGTGCTGTGTAGACGCTCCTTATTTCGTAATAAGCTATTTCAACATAAGATACGCAATTAACATAGCTTGATTTGCACAGCTTATTTCAAGTTAAGCCCTGCAGTGTAGACGCACCCTTAGATCTCATCACTGAAGTCTAGTGTTAACAGTGTGCCTCTGGTGCTGGAGAAAGTAAGATGATGGAAAGATAACAAAGAAAGCTATTGTGTCCCTTATATAGTTCTGAGGTTCTGCTTTCAGTATGGTTTAATAAGGAGAAAAATTAGCCTCTTACCTGCCCTGCTCCAGTAAGATTATATCCTTCCATCCTAGCTTGGAGAGGTGGTATGCAACAGATGTACCCATGATTCCACCACCACAGATTACCACCTGTGCCTGAGCTGGCAGGGAAATGGTGGAAGACTCTGCAGATGATGTAGTGGTGTGCCGGAAGCTGGATGTGCTTTTCCACCTGGGCCTGACTGTCCACCACCGGACATCTGACAGTAACCGAAGAAACATCCTGCCGGGTGTCAGTTTTCTTGAGGTACCATCTACACACGGTAAGATGCTAGCTTACAGCCACTTCTTCTAGGCAAGGAAAAAAAGCAACAGAGATTACCACCACCACTTATCGTACATGTGGGCAAAGCTGTTCCTGGAAACTCAATGGTAGCAAGGAGGTGGTGGTGACTAGGACAATGATGTGTAATAAGGTATCTGAAAACTCCTTCATGGACAACCTGGAATCTTTAATGCTGACAGATGTATAAGCAGGAAAACAGCCTGTGCAAAATATGAGAGTTCTCAAAGAACAACCTTACTACTGAGAGGAACTAGGTGGATCAGGAAACTGATAACAAGACCCAGAGTTACTAGGAAGAGTTACTAGGAAGAAAACAAGATAAAGTTTTGACATATACACAGGGCATCTTGCACCAACATGGGATATGACAGAGAAAATGTGAACTGAGTTGAGTGTGAAGGGAAGGAAACAGAGAAAAAGCCCATGGAAGGGCTGCAGAGAAATTTTTGAACTGGCTTCTGAAATTAACAAGGAATCTGTGAGTCTGAGAATGAAGTGACTGGATTGTCCTTGATTTGAGTGGAGAGGACATCCTGCATGTACTAGAATCCGGAGAACCAGGACTCTGTAACATCAGAGTAAGGATATTAAATATTGATTAATTTGCTAGTTGAGAAGGGAGGGGGGGGGGGGGGAGGCTCTTGTGCATTTCAAAGTGGAAGCACCCACATGTAGCTGCATGGAGTGCTGCTGCTTTGAAATGCTGCAGAGCTGGGGTCAGCTTGGGACTCCTCAGCTGATCCTGGACTCCCTGCAGCATTTCCGTGGAACCCAGGGTCAGCTGGGGACTCCCCAGCTGACCCCAGGCTCTGCAGGCTTTGAAATGCCATGTGGAGCCTGGGATCAGCTGGGGACTCACCAGCTGACTTCGGGTTCCCCTGAAATGCTGCACCCGAGTCAGCTAGGGAGTCCCCAGCTGACCCCAGGCTCTGTGCGGCGCTGCCCCTTTGTCAGCTCCATGCGGTGTTGCCATTTTGAAATGCCGTGGTGGCGTTTCAAAGGGGCAGTGCTGCAGGGAGCCTTGGATCAGACGTACGGCACTGGCCCTTTGAAACTTTGCATGGAGCCCCTACACTGGGCTCCGTGTGGCACTGCCACTTTGAAGTATCCCTTTTCTCCCCCTTTGCTGCCGCTATCTGACGAAGGTGGGGGGGGATGGGAGTGACTAGTTGTCAACTATCTGAAACAAATGCTTATCAGATAATTGAGTCTAGTGCTTTACATCCTTACTACAGAGATGCTCTGTAACGATGTTAGTTTTATTACAGGTGCTACAAAAGCATCCACTGGCGCTTACCAGTTATATAACATCACTTCTCCTTTTCACCCCTTCATCCCCAGCCTGTGTTTAGTAATCGTATCTGGTTCTGATTTTACTGCAATCACACTTGATGTACCAATATCACACCCCACAACTCAAGCACTGAAAGAGCAGAGCAAGGGACACACACAAAATGCTACACTATTTTTGGTTAAAAGTCACTAGTCAGTGAAAAGAACACAGAGGGCAACATGCAACAAGCAGTAACTTGCACACAGGAAAGTATTTATAAACCAAGCTTTCTGACCAACCCCGAACCCTGCACATTCGCCTGGGAGCAAAAAGCGAAGGGCCTGTCCCGAACAGACTGTCTCACCCCCACAAGAGTGGATCCAAGAGAGGCCAAGCCCCCCCCAACAGTCCAGCTCCTCCCCACTGAGCCCCCCAAACCAAAAAGCGAAGGGCCTGTCCCGAACAGACTGTCTCACCCCCACAAGAGTGGATCCAAGAGAGGCCAAGCCCCCCCCAACAGTCCAGCTCCTCCCCACTGAGCCCCCCAAAC